TGCCACAGCACCCCCCCCCCCACGGCCCGTATGGTAGGGACGGTCCTGGGTTTTGCTGCTCAGTGACAGTAGACTGAGAAGCGAGAAGCTAACACCACTTTACAGAAGAGAAAAGCACTAAAATGAAGTAGATGCAGTATATGCTCTGCAATTCATGAGTATACAGTGCACATATGTCCTAATACAGACATCCCAACTCTCCCGGATGCTCCGGGAGTCTCCCGCTATTGGATAGCGGCTCCCGGTCAACCCGGGAGAGAAACACTACCTTCCGGAAAGGTTTAATCTTCTCTATCGAGCAGAGTAAACCTTTCCCTGCGATCGACACTGCTGCTGTCAATCAGCAGAGGGGGACCTTTTTTCTATCAAGTCCTCTTCTGGTGATTGAAAGCAGCAGAGGGCAGGTGCAATAGCTAGTTTGCTATTGGCTATTGCAAAGTCAAATAGCCAATAGGAATCTAGCTATGCATTCCTATGCCTTTTTTTTTTATTCTGACGACTGTCACTGTCAGAATACTAAAAAAAAAAAGCCTGCAGACAGCAAAGGAGCTATTGCTTCCTGTGCTATCTGCCATCATTTCAGGGGGGGTGCTCTCTCTGAGCCTCCCCCCTAACCCCCGTCTGTGGGTGGGGAGAGGGCACCTCCCTGAAATGAGAGGGACACCTCCCTGAAATTGCTTCTTTCAGGTTGGGATCCCTCCTAATACATGTGTACATGTGCTGTAATATCATTTTAGTCCATCTTGCCTAAATAAATACATTAGATACCACCACAATTATACCCGTACTGGTGTAAAAACACACCTGTTTGGTGGTGAGGGATCAGCAATAGATGGATTGCTCAAGGAGTATGCAATTAAGCACATTAAAAAAAAAAAAAAGTTTATTATATACTGCAGAATAATTTAGAAGTCTGGCATATGGAGTGTACAATTATTTTCAATGCCTAAAGCAACACTGCTAATTTCACCATGAAGGAAATGTATAGGCATGAGAGACCACGAGAAGATTTACGGACCAGGAAATAACCTAACAATTTAGCAGGTAAAATTATTACTTCTGGAAACTTTAATATTTTGTCACACATTGGGGCCTGCCTGTTCAAACTTGTATGTCGAAACTCACTAAAGAGCAATTTGTAGCATCATATTCTGATACAATAACAAGCTTATAACAATTCATAATAGATAGACTTCAGCAGATACAGTTCCCATGCCTTGGGCCCCCTTCACACGGGCATTCCTGAAAAACTACCTGGCAGACCTGATCGCAAGTCCAGTGTTAGTCTATGGGCAGCCAGATTTAAATGGACGTAATTTTCAGTTTTTTTCTTCCATTGCAAGATGAAGGAAAAAACTGGATGGACACGGATGTCACAGATATGTGTATGGTTCTTCTGCTGTTCGGAACTGAAGGCGCTCATGTGAAAGGGGCCTTATGGATACAGTTCCCTGGTTTCCATCAGTGTCTAAACACAACTCTAGTGCCAATAATTATATTCATGATGGACTGAAGTGAATGAAAAATATGTAAAGCGCTGCATAAATTGATGGTGTTATGTAAATACCTGTAATAAATAGATACATAATAACTAATGCTGGTTTATTAGGATCATCTGTGAATGTACAGAACAGAGCAAATACAATTCAAAAACAGGAAAATCTACTGAATGAACATAAAATGTTTCAGAATGCTGACAGATTTTGTAGAATGTGAATTACAATTAGACTGTAAATGGGGATAAAGGGGAAAGATCTTATCGCCTAAGCTCCAAATTTAAAGCACAGGCAGCATTGCTAATAGCACCTTTTCCTGCTGTATGGGGTTTTCTTGTTACCCGTTGAATTTTCCTTAAAGTAGAACATACAAGCAAGTGTATCTGCACTTCCAGTGTTCTCTTCGTCTCTCTGCAAAGTCCCACCAATACCTATTTAACCTACCAGTGCAGTCCACCTAATGCAGCATCATTTGATGATGTGGCAACATTGCTGCACTGCTCCTGAATTCAGAGTAGAGTTACCACTCATGTGGCCTTTGCCTCCTTGCACTACAATGTGATGGAAAAAATGTCAGTCAGCACCGGGCCACACCTAGTCCTGCCCACTGCTTCTCTATGAAACCCTCTTCAGTACATAGGGGAGAGAGCATGCAAGACACAAATGAAGGAGAATTAGACTCAATCAGGGAAGGTATAGGACATTTTTAATTTCTTCCCCACTATATGCAAAAATTAAAAGACAGGTTTTTGCTTTCAAGGAGAACTATGGGGTCAGGGCTTCTCCCCATAGTTCTCCTTAGGGTAACGGGAGGACACAAACTAGCGTCCTCCCGTTACCCCAAGCTCAGTATACGGCGAGCTACAGCTACAGCTGGGCGGATCTCGACATTGATGTCGAGATCCGCCCAGCTGTGTGAGTGACAGCTGGGTCTGCCTCTATAGAGGCA